GTCCAACTACCTTAAGGCATGGTGGCTGGGGAATTCTGGGAGTTGAAATCCACTCATCTTCAACCTGCCAAGGTTGAGAAACGCTGGGCAGACTAAACTAAGGGTAGATAGGGAATACATGAACCATCTTCAAAGCCCCACAAGGACATACCTATAACGTCCCATTAGAGGACAGGGAACACAATACCACACAACCACATCTCTCCACCTCAGCAACTTTCAAATGTCTGGGAGTGGAGAATTCTAGGAACCGAAGCTAGGGAATTCTGGGAGTTGAAGTCCTCACATCCCAAAACTGCCGCCAAGGTTGAGAGAGACCTCTGTACGGGGAAGTCCTCGACTTACCGCAGTTCATTTAATGACGGTTCAACGTGAACACCGCAAAAAGTGACTCCCAACCACCACCGCCACAGCATTCCCCACGGTCACGTGATCAAAAAATTCACCCGCTTGGCAACCGACTCACATTTATGACCGCCCGATCCCCTTTTGCGACCTTCCCGTGACCAGGAAAGTCAACAGGGAAGTGAGCCAGATTCACTTAAAACCACCGTGTCCCTAAACTGAACAGTCAACACAGGGACTCAGTCAACCCCCCCCCCACCCCTGGCCAAGAAAGGTGGTCAAATGGAGCCAAGCTCATTTAACAACCGTCTCACTTAGCCACAGGAATTCGGGGGGGGGGGGCGCTCCAAGTTGCCCGTCGCAAGCCGAGGACCACCACCACCACCCCGCCCCCGTTAAGAAACAACCGCGAAACCCCCGAACGGCGAAAACCTCAAGAAAACGAGAGCATCCCCTTTCGGGCCTGTGGAAGTGAGGATGCTGAGGGGAAAGGGAGGGGGGTGGACTAGATGACCTTTCGGAACCTCACCCAAATCCCAGAGTCTCCCCAGCTTCGGGAATAGGAACCTCAGGGGCCAAAATGGTCTCTTCTCTTGAGGGGGGAACCGCGACGGCATGCAGGACCCTCCTCACTTTTCCCCCGTCGGAAGCCCCTCGGTCGGGGGCCGAGGGTGTCCTCGGGCTCCAGATCCCTCAGCGACGAGACTCCCCCTCAGGGTTTTGCAGGGGGCCCCTCTCGTGACGGGGAAGGGGAGGGCCTCGATAGCCCTCAGGACCCGCGGCCCAGGCCGTGCGGCGGCGACGGACGGCCCACTGGCTCTCCCGCCCCCTCCCCCTGAGGAAAACCGCCCAGCCCTCCACGGTCGACGACGCTCGACTCACCGGTCGGCAACGGTTCCCGTCACGTCGTCGCCTGTCCGAGCGGCCGCTGAGGGGAGCAAAGCGGGTGGGAGGGGGAGGGGCGCCTCAGAAAACAGCCGTTTGCCTCTCCTCCGCCTCCAACGGCCGAGCAGCCCCCGCCACCGGCCGCCGATTGGCTGCTGCCGCGCGCGGAGGGACGGCCGGGCCCTCCAATCGCAAGCCAAGTCCACGGGCGTCTCCGCCAATGGCTTTACCCGCCTGCCGGGCCCCGCCTCCACGTTGGTTAAAGAGCTCCGGGAGGCTCGCGTCGCCTTTCTTTTCTCTCTCTTCCGCTCCGGCGCTGGTCATTGGTTAACGGGCGGCGACCAATCAGGAGTCGCGGTGAGGGAGACACAGGCACCGCCCGATCGGGAGGCGCTGGATGGCAGCGTCGCTCGGATTGGCGGAGGGACGAGGAAAAAAAAGGTGGGCTGGGCCAGGCCAGGCCAGGCCACGCCCTTTCGGGGCCCCTTGGGAAGGGATGGGTGAAGCGACGCGAGCGGCCTACGTGAGGACGTGCACAGCAGCAGTCGCGCGGGGGTGGGCGGGGTTTGCGGGGCCTGGCGCACCAATCGGGGGAGAGTGGGCGGGTTCTTTTTCCGCAGGCCACGCCCTCACGAGCTATTCCCCCCGCCTCCTCTCTTCTGTCCCCCACGCGAGTTTGCTTACACGTTGCTCAGCGATCCTGGTGGGCAAAAAAAAAAAAAAAGGAGTGGGGGGACACGAATAGGGGTGCAGATCCTCGGGTGGGAGTTGCGGCCGTGCATAACATTGCACCTAACTTGAGGTGTGGGGGTTCAAATCCTACTCCGCCCATTGGGACTCTCCTCCGAAGTGCTGTGCCAGAACAGCCGAGTGGGTATTATTGTATTATTTGCCATCAGATGTGGATTCTATCTTTTATCTACCAATCGGTTCAATTAAAACCTCCGTCTCGCTGCAATTCTGTGGCTCCGCGTTATGGTGATTTTATTGTGGTCGCTTCTTAATTTAATATTTTATCCTTTACATTGCATTGGCCACATTTCTTTTGCGGGGGGGAGGGGGATGATAGAATGGATAGGTAGATAGAGGATGGATAGATTGTAGGTAGATAGATAATCAATAGATAATGGACTAGATGGATAAATAGATAGAGAGATAGAGAGATAATAGGTAATGGACAAGCTAGATGATCAATAGATAATGGACTAGATAGATAGATAGATAGATAGA